TATCCAGTAGTGCAATCGCAGGGTCACAGGGTAGCTCTATTTTTAATTTTTTGAGGAATCTCCACACTGTTTTCAAAGTGGCTACACCAACTTGCATTCCCACCAACAGTGTAAGAGGGTTCCTCCTTCTCCACATCCTCTCCAACATTTGTTATTTCCTGCCTTTTTAACCTTTGTAATTCTAACTGATGCAAGATGGTATCTCAATGTGGTTTTGATTTGAATTTCCCTGATGGCTAGTGATGATGAACTTTTTTTCATGTGTCTATAAGCCATTTGTATGTCTTCATTGGAAAAGTCCCTATTCATGTCTTCTGCCCATTTTTAAACATGATTATCTATTTTTTGTGTGTTGAGTTTGAAAAGTTCTTTATAGATCTTGGATATCAACCCTTTGTCTGTAGTGTCATTTGCGAATATCTTCTCCCATTCCATGGGTTGCCTCTTTGTTTTGTTGACTGTTTCCTTGGCTGTGCAGAAGCTTTTTATCTTGATGTAGTCCCCAAAGTTCATTTTTGCTTTTGTTTCCTTTGCCTTTGGAAACCTGTCTTGAAAGAAGTGCTGTGGCCAGTGTTGGAGAGGTTACTGCCTATGTTCTCCTCTAGGGTTTTGATGGATTCCTGTCTCACGTTGAGGTCTTTTATCCATTTTGAGTTCATCTTTGTGTATGATGTAAGAGAATGGTAAAGTTTCATTCTTCTATATATAGCTGTCCAATTTTCCCAGCACCATTAATTGAAGAGACTTTTTTCCACTGTATATTTTTTCCTGCTTTGTTGAAAATTATTTGACCATAAGTTCAGGGTCCATATCTGGGCTCTCTACTCTGTTCCATTGGTGTTTGTGTCTGTTTTTGTGCCAGTATCATGCAGGACCCATCCATATGCTGTCTACAAGAGATGCATTTTGAACCTAAAGTTACATCCAGACTGAAAGTGAAGATATGGAGAACCATCTTTCATGCCAGTGGGCCTCAGGAGAAAGCTGGGGTAGCAATTCTCACATCAGATGAATTATATTTTAAGCTAAAGACTGTAGTCAGAGATATAGAAGGACACTACATCATTCTTAAAGGGTCTATCCAACAAGAAGATCTAACAATTATAAATGTTTATGCCCCCACCTGAGAGCAGCCAACTACATAAGCCAACTGTTAATCAAAATAGTCATATTGATAAGAATATGTTAATTGTAGGGGATCTTAACATGCCACTCTCAGCAAGAGATAGATCCTCTAAGCAGAAAATCAACAAAGAAATAAGAGCTTTGAATGACACATTGGACCAGATGGACCTCATAGATATATACAGAACGTTCTACCCTAAAACAACAGAATACTCAAGAAGATATACTGTGTCACAAATCAGGTCTCAACTAATACCAAAAGATTGAGATTATTCCCTGGATATTCTCAGACCACAATGCTTTGAAACTGGAACTCAATCACAAGAAAAAGTTTGAAAGAAATTCAAACACTTGGAAGCTAAAGACCATCCTGCTCAAGAATGTTTGGATCAATCAGGAAATCAAAGAAGAACTTAAACAATTCATGGAAACCAATGAGAATGAAGACACATTGGTCCAAAACCTATGGGATATGGCAAAGGCAATCAAAGGGGGTAATTCATAGCCATCCAAGCCTCACTCAAAAACATTGAAAAATCCCGAATATACAAGCACTCTTTACACCTTAAAGAATTGGAAAATCAACAACAAATTAAGCCAATCCCACCCAAAAGAAGGGGAATAATTAAGATTGGAGCAGAGATCAATGAGTTAGAAACTAGAGATATATATAGTAGAACACATCAACAAAACTAGAAGGTTGTTCTTTGATAGAATTAATAAGATTGATGAACCACTGGCCAAACTAATCCAAAAGAAAAGAGAAAAGACCCAAATTATTAAAGTTATGAATGAAAGGGGAGAGATCACGACTAATACCAAGGAAATAGAAACCATCATCAGAAATTATTATCAACGGCTATATGCCAGTAAGTTAAGCAACCTAGGAGAAATGGATGCATTCCTGGAAACCTATAAATTTCCAAGAGTGAAACAGGAAGAAATTGACAACCTGAATAGACCAATTGAAGCAGTGATCAAAAACCTCCCAAAAAACAGAAGTCCAGGACATGACAGATTCCCTGGGGAATTTTACCAAACCTTCAGAGAAGAAATGATACCTATTCTCCTGAACCTATTTCAAAAAATAGAAACAGAAGGAAAACTTCTAGACTCTTTCTATGAAGCCAGCATTACCCTGATCCCCAAACCAGGCGAAGACTCCATCAAAAAGGAGAATCTATAAAGAACTCCTCAAACTCAGCACACACAAAACAGATAATCATATCAAAAAATGGGCAGAAGATATGAACACTTTTCCAATGAAGACATACAAATGGCTATCAGACACATGAAAAAATGTTCATCATCACTAGCCATCAGGGAGATTCAAATTAAAACCACATTGAGATATCACCTTACACCAGTTAGAATGGCCAAAATTAGCAAGACAGGAAACAACATGTGTTGGAGGGGATGTGGAGAAAGGGGAACCCTCTTCCACTGTTGGTGGGAATGCAAGTTGGTGCAGCCTCTTTGGAGAACAGTGTGGAGATTCCTCAAGAAATTAAAAATAGAACTTCCCTATGACCCTGCAATTGCACTACTGGGTATTTACCCCAAAGATAACAGATGTAGTGAAAAGAAGGGCCATCTGTACCCCAATGGTTATAGCAGCAATGGCCACGGTTGCCAAACTGTGGAAAGAACCAAGATGCCCTTCAGCGGACGAATGGATAAGGAAGATGTGGTCCATATACACTATGGAGTATTATGCCTCCATCAGAAAGGATGAATACCCAACTTTTGTAGCAACATGGACGGGACTCGAAGAGATTATGCTGAGTGAAATAAGTCAAGCAGAGAGAATCAGTTATCATATGGTTTCACTTATTTGTGGAGCATAACAAATAGCATGGAGGACATGGGGAGTTAGGAGAAGGCAGTTGGGGGAAATGGGAAGGGGAGGTGAACAATGAGAGACTATGGACTCTGAAAAACAATCTGAAGGGTTTGAAGAGGTGGGGGGGGTGGGAGGTTGGGGGAACCAGGTGGTGGGTATTAGAGAGGGCACGGATTGCATGGAGCACTGGGTGTGGTACAAAAACAATGAATACTGTTATGCTGAAAATAAATTTAAAAAATGATTAAAAAAAAGGAAAATTTCAGACCAATATCCCTGAGGAATATGGATGTCAAGATTCTTAACAAGATCCTAGCTAATTGGATCAAACAGTACATTAAAAAAAATTATCCAGCATGACCGGGTGGGATTTATCCCTGGAAGGCAAGGGTGGTTCAACATTTGCAAATCAATCAATATGATAGAACAAATCAATAAGAGAAGAGAGAAGAGCTACATGGTCCTCTCAATTGATGTAGAAAAGCATTTGACAAAATACAGCATCCTATCCTGATTAAAACTCTTCAGAGTATAGGGATAGAGGGAACATTTCTCAGCTGCATAAACTCCATCTATGAAAAATGCACAGCAAATATCATTCTCAATGGGAAAAAGCTGAGAACCTTCCCATTGATATCAGGAAAATGACAAAGATGTCCACTCTCGCTACTGTTGTTCAACATAGTACTAGAAATCTTAGCAACAGCAATCAGACAACAAAAAGAAATAAAAAATATTCAAATAGGCAAAGAAGATGTCAGACTCTCTTCACAGATGACATGATACTTTATGTGGAAAAACCAAAAGACTCCACCCCCAAATTATTAGAACTCATAAAGCAATTCAGTAATGTGGCAGGATACAAAATCAATGCGCAGAAATCAGTTGCTTTCTTATACACTAACAATGGAAACATAGAAAGGGAAATTAGAGAATCGATTCCATTTACAATAGCACCAGAAACCATAAGATATCTGGGAATAAACCTAACCAAAGAGGTAAAGGATCTGTACTCGAGGAACTACAGAACACTCATGAAAGAAATTGAAGAAGACACAAAAAGATGGAAAAACATTCCATGCTCATAGATCAGAAGAATAAACATTGTTAAAATGTCTGTGCTTCCCAGAGCAATCTATATTTTCAATGCCATTCTGATCAAAATACCAGCGACATTTTTCAAAGTGCTGGAACAAATAATCCTAAAATTTGTATGGAACCAGAAAAGACCCTGAATCACTTAGGAAATGTTGAAAAAGAACAACAAAGCTGGGGTCATGATGTTGCCTGATTTCAAGCTTTACCACAAAGCTGTGATCACCAAGACAGCATGGTACTGGCACAAAAACAGACATGTAGACCAATGGAACAGAGTATCTTTCAAAAAAAAGTTATCCCTTAGTCTTTGTTAGGTGGCCCACTTTCCTTCCAGAGTTTCTACGAGAGTATGTCTGATGAATTGCTTGCTCTGTGGAGAGAAGTTCTGCCATGTTCTTGTTGGGCACTTGTGGTGTTTGTCATATTCAATCTGTGGTCTTTTTCAGAGGAATCTTTGAAGTCCTTTGTCTCTACTTTGTAGGTCAGTTTGTCTAAAATTAGGTAATATAATCTGGACTGAGTCATAATAATCTGTCATAAGTGCCAGTAGGTTGAAGGAAGATGTATGTTGGAGGACTTGGCTCTGGTGTGGGACTTGCCTCTTCCATCAGCCTGCCTCTGGCATGACTATCACACCCAGGTAGTAAGAAGGCGCCTTTATCCACATCAGTATTAACTGTTATTGAACCTTCATCTCTCTCCTATTTTAGCCAGCAAAGAATTAAGACAGTAATAAAGGATTCCTCCCATGTCCAAATGATCATGGCGTGCCTCTGGGATTTGCATACCCACCCGAGGGCCTGGCTGCTGATGTACTGTCCCCATTGTTACAGTGCTTTTCATAGCGTGGCTTTCTGCACACAGAGAAGTTCGTTTCTGGTGTGTCAAACAGTTATCCAGAAATATGGTCTAAGCCACATTTTCTGTGTTCTAGGAGCAAGCTGAGGAAGATAAGAAGCCCAGAGATGGTGCCACCCCATTGAGTCACGGTAATCATCCCCATCATTTACAATTTTAGTACACAATGAATAACTTTTAAATGAAGTTTTTATTAGATTGCTTTTGTTGTTTTAGGTTTATTAATTAAGCTTGTAATTGTAGGATCATTTATTGTCATTGCTGTTACATACTGTTCTGGAGACTTTGAGTCATCTAAGATTTCCAAATATGTACAGCAAGAAAAATGCTGAAGCTCTGGCCTCATTTATTTGCCTTTTAAAAATGCTGTAAGTAAAACAACTTCCGTTTTGTAAACCTTCCCTGAGAACAAGACAATAAGCAATGCTACTTAGTTTAGTGTAATTCTTTGCTTGAGCTTTTCCCAGAGTAGTTTCATCTTCTAATGATCACATTTGTACTCTTCCACTGAAGTCTTGTTTTAGAGGAGATTGCACATTTGCTCTAAATTGAATATCCCTCATTATGGTTAATACATCAATAGGTTTTAGATAACAGCTTATTAGTATTCAGCAAATTCTCTGATGTTTTAAATTTATTTATTTATTTATTTATTTATTTAAAAGAGAAAGCACAAGTGGGGGACATGCAGAGGGAGATGGAGGGAGAGACCCTTTAGCAGTCTCCATGCCCACCACGGAGCTCAACACAGGGCTTGATCTCACAATGGTGAGATCATGACCTGAGCCGCAATCAGGAGTCGGATGCTTAATAAACTGAGCCAGCCAGGTTCCCCTCTGATGTTTTTCGTTTAAATCAACAAATGCAGATGGTATTTTCCTGGAATATATATTCCATTATTTTATGATTATTACTATACAAGCAGACAACTGCTATTAAGTTTTCTGTAAAATATAGTTGAATTTTCAGCATTTGTGCTCCATGGGAAGGAAGCATATACATTTGATAAATCTTCTCTAATGATCTTTTGAAAATATGTTTAACATTTGTTGAATAAGCTTTTTTTTAAATAAACAATGGAAACAACTAAAAATACCTTGAAAAAAATGACAAGCAAAAATTGAGGTTTTTAAAGACCATTTTATATTGTTCAGTTTGGGGACAAAATATTGAAAATTCATGATCTTCCATCTAAATGCTTTTTTTTTTTTTTTTTCAAAATTTTTTTTTTTTTTTTTTTTTTAGAGTTTTTTTTTTTTTTTTTGCAGAGAGGCAGTCAGAGAGAGAGGAGGAAGCAGGCTCCCCGCTGAGCAGAGAGCCCGATGCGGGCCTCCATCCCAGGACCCTGGGACCATGACCTGAGCCGAGGGCAGAGGCTTTAACCCACTGAGCCACCCAGGCGCCCTCATCTAAATGCTTTTAAAATAAAAGTTGTTTTCTGCTCTAAGCAAAATATGCTGCTTTAAATTCTCTTCTTCTCTTGCTGTCAGTCATGTTCTTTGCTGAAAAAGCAAAATAGAATACAGTAATTTGATAATTATGTAACTTGATGTTCAACTCCATTGAGATACATTTTAGTTATGCAACATTGGAATTCTAGAAATAAATTTGGACTGTACTAGTCCCTAACAGCGGGGCTTTTTTAAACATTATTTTTTCCTTTGTAAGAGAGAGTTTGTGATTTATAATGTTGTTGTTCTCCTCTGCAGGTATATTTTCACTCTAATGCAAATTGTTCTAGATTCTTCTACTCCATGGTTATAACATTTATTCTAGAAAAAGATGCAGTTAGACCAACAATTTAAGAATGTTTGGTCCTCAAAATTTAGATTTTTTAGTAATTTAGTATTTATAGTTTCATATAGCCAAATATATGTTTGTTGTAAATAGTATTTTCAGTTTTATTGGAAGTGCCTTTTTGCTCTTGTTCTTCCATTGTCAGACTAGTTTTTATGGTTAGTGGTCCATTCTCAAAAGTTTTCACCTGTGGTTTATTCTCAAATCTGAGGTTGTTGCTGTTTGTCCCAACTCTTGTCCATAGGTACATGTTTAGAAGAAGGATGAGATTAATTTGTGCATACAGATGCAACAGACTGCTAGTGGAAATGGAAATTAAATTATTTGAGGGGGGCTTTTGAGGTCCTGCTTTTAGTGGGATGAAGGAAACTGTTCTCTAAATTGCCTATTGTAATATTATAGTGAAGATTTTCTTACTCTAATTCCTGAAAATTGTTTAATTTTTTTCTGCAGGCTTCTTGCAAGACAAAAGATTTAGTCCTTACTTATGTCTTAAAAATAATAACAAAAGAAAAGCAAAAAAATTGAATACATACATATTTATATGTAAACAGAAAATTGTATTAAAAAATAAACACAATTCTTTGTCCTGATTTTACAAGGAAGACATTTCTTTGGAAATCATTACAAAATAATTTACTGAGAGCACAATCTGTGCCCTAATACTGTCCTGTGTTATAGATGATGAAGCTTTGAGAGGCCCTTTGACTTTTTTAGGGTAGACAACTAGTGAATGGTGGATCCAGGGTTTAAGCCCACATCTAGTAATTCTAAAGCTTATGTCCTTTCTGCTTTACCTGTTATTTAACATCCTCCTTTCTTTTTAGCTATTAAGACAAAAATACAGAAAATGAATTTTGTTAAGAAATGTTATGGGAAAGATAACTGCTCATAATCAAGGTGCTAATGCTGTTAATCCAGCCCTCTGTGTCCTAGAAACTGGCTGAACTAGATTTTTCCCAACATAATCATGCCTTGGAATTAATTTTGTTTGGTTATTTTGGAAACTCTGTGAGCTAGAGTATTCCTGGTGATTCAGAAATTTTAACAATTGCCTTGGATACCTCTAAGAAAAGGTTTGTTTTAGTAAGTATTATTTGTTAATAATTATTTATGACTTAAGGTATCCGGTTAGTATTATTAATCACTCTGTAATCCCAGACCTCCACATTTGAAGTCTCCAAGATAAAAACAGCTCATTTTTTCTGTTGGATGAGTGATCTGGCTTTTTCCCTTCTAAATTTTAAGTGTTTTTTTTTAACTAATGCTAATATTTTTTTGGTTGAGTGTTGGGGCAGTGAGGTCTTTATAAACATAAAAAGAATAGAAGAAATTATAAAGGAAAATGATATATATATAAATTAAATAATATATAAATATATGTATATAAATATATTTTTATATAATATGTATATAATATATATAAATTAGACTTTGTACATCAAAGAACATCATAATAAAAATTAAACTGGAAATAAACCAGCAAATATTTACCACAACTACTGACTGAAGGTCCATGCACACAATGGATTTAGAAGAAATAATGAGATACACTAAGATCTCAGTGCAGAAATAGACAAAAGACATGAACAGGCAATTCATGGAAGATGGAATGTGTTAAATACATTTAATTTACTAGAAAGCAAAGAAATACACGTTTAAATGTAATGAACATTTTTTTGGCCTCCTAATTAACAATTAAAAAACATGCTGACACCACTTGCTGGTGGACAAGGGAGCTGGCTGTCCGTACACTGCTATTGTGAGTGCAAGTTGTTCCATTGTTTTAGGGAACATATTGTTAGCATTTATTTTTAAATAAACATTTCCTTCAACTCTGGAACTCTATTTTTTGGAATTTCTCCCAGTGAAGTAAGCCATCTGCATTGAAGGTATGCATATGATATTGGTTGTGGTACTGATTATAAATGGAGAAGAGCTGGGAATAATATAATTGTCCTATGAATTTCGAATAGGTAAAACATTATGGTACAACTGTGTGTAGACAGTTGTGTGGTCACTTAAGTGCTTTGGAAAAAATTAAATTACATGGGAGGGAAAGCTTATGGTAACATATTAAGGAGGAAAAAAGCTCAGATGAGTAATTTCAGTGATGGTTGAAAAAAATCACCTATCTATAGCATGGAAAGAAAGATGTTAACAATTATTATCTCTAAGTTGTGAAATAAAAGAATGTTTTCTATAATTTCTAAGGTTTTTGTTTTGTTTTATTTTGTTTGTGGGGTTTTATTTTTTGCAATTAGTAGGTAATCATGGGACAGGTAAATATTGAAAAAATAATTTGGAAAATTCTGAACATAAAAACTTCAGTTTATGGAGTAGAGGATGCTTTTGGAATGTCTGTTTTTGGATTTCTTCTTTTTTTGTAAGTAAACTTTTCATTTTGGAATAATTTTAGATTTGAGAAAAGTTGCATAGTACAGGTAGTCTTGTATGCCCTTCCCCAGTTTCTGCTAACATCCGTCTGTATCTTATATGACTGTAGGACATTTGTCTGAACTAAGAGATTAACGTTGGTACATCATGTCAACAAACTGCTTAGTTTATTCAAATTCCACCAAATTTTTTACTAATGTTTTTTCTCCAGATTATCATTAGAGGCCTCTGGGCATCTGGCACTTTGACCGGCACCTGCCACTGAACCCTGCCTTCCCCCGTTTTGCTTTGGCCCAACAGAACATGCTGTCTTGGGGTACCTGGTTGGCTCAGTCAGTTACGAGTCTGCCTTCGGTTCAGGTCATGATCCCAGGGTCCTGGGATGGAGCCCCATGTTGAGCTCCCTGCTCAGTGGGGAATCTGCTTCTCCCTCTGACCCTTACCTTGCTAGTGCTCTCTCTCTCACTTTCTCTGTCTTTGAAATAAATAATAAAATCTTTTAAAAACAATAATGTACAGTCTAGACCTTTTGTTGTCTTTTGCCTGGAGGCCTCTTCTTCTGGCTTATCCAAGTAGCTGGCTCCCTCAGAACAGCATTATCTTCTCTACTTTCCTTATTTTGTGTTTTTCTCCCTCTTCTGTTTTCTCTCAGCATACCCTAGGGCACTTGGCTTTTAAAAATTAAGTTATATTGGGGCGCCTGGGTGGCTCAGTGGTTAAAGCCTCTGCCTTCGGCTCTGCTCAGCAGGGAGCCTGCCTCCTCCTCCTGTCTCTCTCTGCCTGCCTCTCTGCCTACTTGTGATCTGTCAAATAAATAAAAGAAAAAAAAATCTTAAAAATTAAGTTATACAATATGCTTTGTCTCCCACTTAAATTGGGTATCTTTTAAAAAGGCATGTCATCAGGTCCAATCTGGCTGGTAGGATTTACCATTTAG